TAAAACTTTCATATTAGTTTTAGACAATCATAGTAACGTTAGCTATTTTTGAGTATTTAATAATAAATATTTTTTAAATAAAAACCCATGATTCATAGGCTATGAATATTGAATGAATAATTGACTTATGAGTCAAATTATTAATTAAATATAATAAATATAAAAATAGCCAACGTTACTATGATTGTCTACAACTCATATTACAGTATACTGTAGCTATAATAATAATAATAATAATAATAATAATAATAATAATAATAATATATTAATTTTGAAATTTAAAAAATTATTATTATATAAGGAATTAATAAAGAATTTTTTAATAGTATTGAGCCTCAAAAAAAATAATACTGTATTATTCACAGAATATTCTTTAAGAAAAATTTTCAATGCTATTAAAGTACAGTACATAGTTTGACAGTCAAAAGTACAATTACGGTATTTATATTATTTTAGAAGAAAAAAAATAATATTGTATACAATATATTATATATAGATATTAAATTTATAAATTAAATGTTAAAATATAAATTAAACTACAAAAAGGCATTATGGCGCTTTGTTTTAATTTAAGTTTAAATTTTATAATATTGTAATATTTTCTTAATTTTAAAATAAATGTTACAATAAAATTGAAAACTTAGATGACTAACACTGCAATCAAATGACCTTAGTTTATAATAAAATTAAGTTACAAATTGATATAAATAGTTTACTTACAACTCCCCAGATCTTAACAGTTGCACTGTTTGAATTGGTCTCTATAGAATTTATATGTGCAAGACAAAATAAAATAATTATTAATCTAGATTCTAGAACAATATATTATTGTATTATGATTTGAGTTCAATGACAAACCTGCTTGAAATTGTATATCAATGGAGACATTGGTTCCAGTTTTGAAGTCACAAGTTTCTGAAGAGGGAGAGCATCCGGTCACTGTTATAGAGGTGACCTTACCTGTAGCTGATCCACAGTCTTTGAAATCAGTGGCACTGATTTGGGTTACCGTTAATACCAGAACAGTTAACTTTATAAATATATGCATTGTTTCAGAGTTTGTTGAATACAAAAGATTAATACGTTTTATAAAGAGTTTGATTTTCCAAAACTATTTCTAATAATAATTTCTTATAAAACTTTGACAACAACTCAAATCAACTGTTCAGAACCAATCAAAACAGTTGAATATTTGTTTATACGAATTATCATAAGATTAGATATGATGTCAATGCGATTGTGTTTAGTTTAATGATTTCCTCCCATAAGTATAATATTTCAATTACTTCTGCATTTCCTTTCATAAGAAACCAGCAATATATAATATTCAAAAATATATTATTAAATTTCTAAATAAACATTAAATTCATGTAGATATTTTAATTTTTTAAATTATCATTTTAAATTAATTACTAAAATGCATTTAGAAAATTCAGTACTATAAGTAAAGTTAATACAATAAGATTAATACAAGAGAAGGATATCTAATTATAATAGGAAGTTGATTACCAAATAGTGAACACTTTGTGTGGAGGAACAGGATAATTATTGTTTAGCTATCAATTAAATCAACATAAGTTTAAAGATATAATCAACATAAAAAGTAACTAATACCAGTATAGCTTATGTTTGATTTTGGTTTTCTATTTAAAATTAAGTTATATACCGTAATATGGATGTAATGTTATTCAAATAGTGATAAGACATAAAATTAATGTTTTATTAATTTTATAACTGTATAGCATTTGAAAGTTAGAAATCCTTACTTATACACTAAATGTAGTAGTTATAATAATATTATTCATTGTTCACAATTGATCTAACAATATATTATTATAAGTAATAAAGTTATAATAATATAACTGTATAGCATTTGAAAGTTAGAAATCCTTACTTATACACTAAATGTAGTAGTTATAATAATATTATTCATTGTTCACAATTGATCTAACAATATATTATTATAAGTAATAAAGTTATAATAAAAAGTTATGAATTTCCTGTGATTGTTTTGATTAATTAAAACATTATTATACCAAAACAAGTTTTACGCTAACAAAAATATTTATCTTATTATTATTACGTATTAGAAATATATTGAAAACTTTTATTTTACAGTTAGCAATTATTAAAGCTATGATTTGTTTATTAAATTTCTAACAAGTAATAATGGCATAAGAATTTAACAAAAATATAATTTAAAAAATTAATTTATTAAAACATTCCTAATTATAATACAATAAATATAAAATATAAATTTAATTACTTTAACAGTTTTATATATACAGTAACAGCAAAAATATAACATTTGACTAAACTATCAAAACATTGTTATCGCTGTATTTTACATATTAATAATTGCTTTCATTGCCTAACAAATAACTTATGAATCTTAAGTAATGATTTATAATTTATAAATATTTTTACCAATGATTTTATATTTATGTGAAGTAATGGGAAATTTTATGGTCACTTTTAATGAGATACTAAATAAAATTCATTTATTTCAGTGATAATCATACGGACGTCACCTGAAGTTTGGTATCAGAGTTCAAATCAACAAAAAATATTTTTCTCCTTTCGATTAAATCATTTTTAACATCAATTGCATTAACATTTGGTTGTGAATCAGAATTGTGTGGAACTATAGAAACAATACAATTATCACTTCTATTAAACTTTAATTGATTATCACTTAAAGTATCTCTTAATTCATTTTCATCTTCAATAATATTAAATCGATTCTCAATAATATCCGGAAGACTACTAGTCCTTCGGGGAGAGGTATTGACTGATAAATAAGTTTCTGGCTTTTTATACTGAGTTGTTTCCTAGAATTGAACCAATCGTTCAAACATTAAATATTTGTTTAGATAATGAAATGAATGATACCTTTCGTGAAGACGACGAGTGTTTAAAATATGGGAATATATTGAGGATATGAAAGAAATGCGGCGCTTCTGACCGACACGTGTCTATCGACTCGTTGAATGACTGTTGCTGTGAGAATGTGGGCGATGGGGACAGGGATGGCGTCTCACCACTATTTAGCGATACTTCACTTTTGATAAGTTTGCCGTTTTTGGTGACCAGTGCGATGGGCACCGACTGCTGTCGGTTGTATCGATTGCGACGAATTTTATTTAAATGATTGAATCGATGGGCGAATGGAGGGCCAGACATACGGCGGATGGAGAGGACAACGTTAGTCAAGTGACGACTCCTAAGGCCTTGACTTATGAAGTTAAGGATCATTGATAGGTAGGCCAATCCAAAGATAATCCAAAGGACCACGATCAGCTTATAGACCCAAATGTAGTGCTTTTCAAAACTGCCGGCCACGTAGTCACCGAAACCAATGGTCGATAGCGTAACGAAACAATAATAGAAACCCTCGAGAAAAGTCCAGTTCTCTATGAATGCGAACACTATTGCCGGCAATACTAGAAATACTAGAAACCAGGGCACGAAAAATATGAGTCCTTTCTTCAGCAGCATTAGTCGTATTGAAAATTGTCTCCGATATCGAGATTTTGCTTTCGATATCTGTTTAAAAATTATGAATATTTTTCAATATTTACCATTTCTTTGATAGTTTTTAAACAATAAGGCTTACGTTATTTGAGAAGCATATACTAAATCGATGACCAATACCTCCTATTAGGAGACCAGTCATTGGAATACCAAATAATGCATATATTATACAAAAAAGTTTGCCTTAAAATAATGATAAGATTATATTAAATATTATAATAAAAGATAACGGTATAAATTTATATCATGTGTAAAATTATGAGTTACCAGAAGCGGTATAAGGAGTGAGATGTCCGTAACCTATGGTTGTGGTCACTGTTATGGCAAAGAAGAATGAGTTAAAGAAACTCCAGTTAATAAACTCGGTTTTGTTGCCAAAGCGGTCCACGAGATTCATGTCTTGAGCGACCAAAAGCTTTTGTATCATATCTGTGATGTCCTCTTGAGAAATGTTCGGGTGATTTATTAGTTTTAATTTATCTGTTTGTTAAATTCATTTTCATTATATATAATTATAAAGTCTTAATTTTTAAGTGGTTTTAACTATATATTTAACTATTTAGACTTGGTATTTCTAATACAGATAGTAAACATAAGTGTAATATTTAAAGTAAAAATTAAATATTATACTCAATATAAATTTTAATAATCTGTATAAATTAGTTATAAACAGTAGTATAAACAGTGTTTGTGACTGACCTTGTTATTAATAAAAGAAATAAACCGGTGCCTAATTAGTTTTGCTTCTAATTAAGAGATTTCTTTATAAGTTAATGTACAGTATTTACAAACACTGTATTTAGTTACTTGTTGTTTGTATCTTTAATTCATATAAGAATTTGTGGATTTTTCATAAAAAGACCTGTCACAAACTAGCAGTTTATTTTCTTGTGATAACTCATAAAACAATACTTTCCTCGAAAGTCATTGAGAAGCTCTCCAATCTCCCGACGCTTTTCATTCTCGAGTGGAGACTCTAAGTACATGAACACCGCCCCACCAAATATCACATAAAATATAAAAAATACCAAAAGTGAGGCAATTTGCCTAAAGTCCATCGAAATTGCCTAAAATTGGGCAAAATATTTGACATATTTTTAGTGTTGATTATTCACAAATAAATAAAATCTTAAAAGCAACGTATCTAGTGAATTTATTTTTTAATTGATATTCATTAAAAGTTAATTAATAAAAATATAATATGAAGTTATTTAATATAGTCTAAAAGGTTTAATAATTGACTTTTTATTCCAACAAATTGTTGGAGACTTTAAAAAACGATGGTATCATTAATTCGCACATTTTGTTGGAAATGTTTCAAACTTTTAGCGCCTATTTTCACGATCAAAGTTCTTGACTTAAATTAGTTTTTAGTTTTTTATTCGCTCACAAATAGAGTTTATTTTGTTATTTTTAGTTAATAGAGTATAACTTTAACAAATATCAATTTTATAACACCGAGACTTGCAAAACTATAAAAGTATTTCATTTAATAGAATTTATACAACAATTATTTTATACAATTTTTGCTTAACAAATTTTTGTTTTATTAATTTGATACTTGTATTGTATTTTTTAAATTGTATATAAAATATTGCTGAAATAGCTATGTTAAATATCGTGCGAAATATATTTATATTAATATTGCAAATTTAAAGATTGCATTCAAAACAACTTTTTTAATTACTTTTGTACTTGCATTTTTAATTTAATAATTTTGAAATAAAATTCTTATAAATATCTAGGATAAACAAATTATTGTGTTTAAAAATTCGATTTATAAATAAAACATAAATACTATTTAAAACAAATAATGATTCATTTAAATTGGCAAATTTTGTACAAATTTAAAAATAGAACTTGTTGGTATTTTTAATAAAATACACTCATTATATTCTACTTGAAAAACGTTGTTTACACTGTTTATAATAAATATTACCAAACTTATAATCTATTTTTTAAATAAATAAAATTATTTTAAAAGTAGGGTTATGATTCAAAGAATTACACAAAAGTTTATAAATATGTCTCCTTGTTATTTATAGAAATACAAAAATATTTTGTTATTATAAAGTGTTTGAGTGGATGTCATTTCAGGGCAATCGCCTCAATTGCATCAATAACTTAACTTTGATTCATATTTAGAAATATTTAAATTAATGGTTTTAAACCATTTAAAATTAATTTTGAAATCAATATTCTTAAAATTATCCAGTTATATTCTAATGTAAAAAATAACGTTTTTTAAATAATCTATATACAATTTCTTTAAAGTTCTAAATTTTCTTATAAAGTACTTAAAATTAATTTAAATATTTACAAGCTTTAGACAATGAATTATACAAGTTTTGCCTTTTTAAAATCAAATTATAATTTTAAGATTATATATTAAAGAATTGTAAAAGTCATTTTATTGCCAAAAATTGTCTCGATAAATTACTAAGCAAATTATCATATTTGCTAAAAGTTTAAATTTTATTTATTGCATCTTATAATTCAAACAAATCTTTCATTTTAATAATTTATCTAAATTTAAATAACTATCAAAATTTAAAAAAATTCTTACCTTTGGTATCATTATTGGCACAGTATATCACTTCAATCACACATTGAAATTTAAAATTCAAAATTAAAAAAGTTAAAAATTACATAATTCTATGTTTATTATAACTTAAAACATTAGTTTGGATATCAAATGAAAATATGATTGCATTCAAAATAAACAGTTGAATAAAATGTGAGAGTTTGTTTGGCTAACAATTCTTTGCGTTTGAAAAGCATCTCTAAAGCAAAGTAATGTCACATTTCTATAGCTCCTATAACTCCACACATTTTTCGTTTAATTATTTTTAGACTTTTTTGTTC